ACCCATTATAGCAACAGAAAACCCTCTCGCACATTCCCAGATTCTCTTCAGGGTGCTGATTAGTACTCATTCAGTTGAGAAATATTGATATAGTTCAACCTACCCATTTTATCGATGAAGAAATTGAGTTGATAAGAAAATGTGAATTTTTAAAATATTAACTGATGGCGGGGCTGGCAGGTGGTGTGGTGGTTAAGATGCTGGACTACCACAGGGCTGACCATGGTTCAAGTCCTGGACCTGATGGCTTGCTTTCTCACTTTCTCTCTTTCTCCATATCTCTCTCTGGTCAAATTAAGCAATGAGAATAATAATAATAGTAAACAATGTTAAAAAAAACTTTTTAAAAATGACAAAATAGTAGTGAAGAGTTACATTTGTATATCCCTAGTCTAATAAATTCTTACATGACAGTTGTCAGAATTAAAACAGTTATTTGTGTCAAGTTTTGCCAAACTCTGACTAAATGGAGCCAAGGAAGACCACAGAGAGGGCAGTTCTCAGGCAAGTGTCATTGATAATAAGTAGTGCCCTGTCCAACCAACCAATAGCCAATAACAATAATGACAAAACAAGGAATGATGTTACTTCACTCCAGTTATTAATCCTGGATGGTTGTCCCAAAACAACTGACACATTCCCCTCCCCCCCCCATTTCTGTTCCTTTGCCTTTAAAACCTGACTAAAGATTTTAAGACATGAACCACATATTCAAGGCTGCTTGAATCTGTTTCCTGGGTCACACCTGGGTTTGAATCTATGTTTGCTGGGTCACACCTGGGTTGTAATTCTTACAAACACAAACACTTATTTTACTAAAATTTGCATACTGTTTCTGTAATGGTTGGCACCTTCTTTATATCAGTAAATCCCATGAAACAAACTTGAATGTGTTCATTTATACATAGAATGTGTAAAAGCCTTTCGTATGTTATAAACTGAAGAGTTAGTACACAAAATTTACTGTTCTGCCTTTTAAATTTTTGTGGCATCTAAAGCTATTGTACTAATCACTTGCTTGGTTCTACCGTGTCCTCTTTGTTAGGAAATAACGCTTTCTTTCTTGGGTGTAGTTAATTAGCCATACAGTTCCAGTAAAAGCATTTGTGGTTTCACCCTCTCTGGCTATGGTTGGGTTAAATGGGGACCATGACTCAGGCTAGTCAACCAAAATCCCCGTCTGTTAATTTCCAAACTACAAACAGGAAAGATCTCTTTGAAAACTATGGAAAAAAGGATGTAAGACCTAAAGGGGTTTGGTGGCCGTTTTCACTATTAAAATGAGACTCATTTCCAATAAAAGAAAGGCCAAGACCGAGAGAAGCAGAGATAAGAGAAGGTCCTGCAGGAATGTGGACCCTGGTTCTAGTTATTCCTAAAACGGAGCTGCATTGTTAACTCTCTTCACAGCTTAGCTACTCAAGACTCCATCTCCTTTTCTTTCTTTTTCTTTTATAATATTAATTGACATATAATAGTTTTACATGTTTATGAAATACAGTGTCATTTGTTTTGTTTTTACTACATGAATATTTTATGTGATAATCAAATCAGGGCAATCAAGATATCCATCATCTCAAACATTCACCATTATTTTGTGTTGTGAACATTTGAAAATCTCTTTTCTAACTATTATCAAATATGCATTGGGAACCAGCAGTTAGCGTAATGGCTATGTCGCTGGACTCCCACATAGTCAAACGCGGTTCGTGTCCCAGACCTGGTGGCTTAAAACTCATGCCAGGCATGTGTGCTTGCGTGCCCAAGATCCCTAGAGGAGAATGGAGGAGAAGGGATTGCGGCATGACCACCCCCCCTGGGGGGGTGATTTCTTGCTTTCTGTCTCTATGTCTCTGTCTGTCTGGCGAGCGCATGCGCCCTATAGCGAAAACCTCTCCAAAAAGAAAAAAATATATATATATATGCATTAAATTGTTAAAATAGTTACTGTAGTTGCTATAGTACTCCACAACTCATTTCTCTTTAACTGGAATTTTGTATTTTTTTAACCAAACTCTCTCTCTCTCCCCCTTCCACCTCCCCTTTTCAGCTTCTGGTATCCTTCATTCCACTCTTCGCTTCAATGTGATCAAATATTTTAGCTTCCACAAATGAGTGAGAACACTTGGTATTTATCTTTCAGTGCTTGACTTATTTCACTAAGCATAATTTACCCTAGAATCACCCATGTTGTCTCAAATGAGAGGATTTCATTCTTTCTTATTGTTGAGTAATATCCATTATATATAATACATTTTCTTTATCCATTTATTTTCTGGTGGACGCTTAGGTCAATTTCATATCTCGGCTATTGTGAATAGTGCTAAATAAACATGGAATACAGATATCTCTTTGATACACTGATTACTTTCCTTTGGACATATCCCAGTAGTAGGATTACTAGTCAGGTCCAATTATTAGTCAGGTCCATTTGTCTATAGTATAGTCTAACTCCAATGTTTTGTTGTAGATTTTCTGTTGAATCTGTCTAATGTTCACAGTGGTTGTTAGCATTTCCAACTATTATTATAGTATGCCAGTGTCTTCAGTTTCTGGGTGGAGTATGTGAAGTGTACAGGGCCTTGCCAGCAGGGGATGCAGGGCCACCCATAGCAATAGTGATAGCAAGTGTGTGAGAGGTGGCCACTGTTCTCAGGCCCTAGTTTGGTTGCATGGAACCCCTTTAAGTTGAGGTAGCAGGATCAGCTATAGCAGCTGTGTCCTGACTATGTCCTCAGGTCTTGGTGGGGCATACAAGTGGTATGGAGACCATGCTGGACAAGGTAGTGAAGCCACTGGGATTGGTGGGGCAGTGGCACCCAGGATGGCTGTTATGAGTCTCAGGCAGAATGAGTATGGCATCCGGAAGCCATACCACAGCTCCATCTTTGATTATGCAAGATGCCTTAGTATCCTTTGACTAAACACTCTTTTCCTTTGAAGTAGTTTTAGAAGTTTTGGTTGAAACTACTTCACATGAAAGAATCTTTTCTTTTTGCCAGAAAGTGACTTACTGAATGTTTAAAATAATGATGGAATTCATAAACAGTAACAATTACAGTTAAGGTAATAATCCTAGCATGTGCCACTAAAGGCATGTGCCACTAAAGGCGTATAATCTTGAAGAAATTAAAATGTGGCTTTAATAAGGTTGTAAGCATAGCTATACCATAATTTTCATCATTATTATTAGAATCATCTAACTATTCTTCTGAGTTTTGGCTTGTGCTTTCTTATTTAAAATATCTTTCTTTTGGGGCCAGTAGGTGGCATAGTGATTAAAGCACTGGACTCCCTCATTGCTGACTGCAGTTCGAGTCCTGGACAAGTTGGCTTGAAACTCATGCTGGATGCATGTGTGTTCATACCCAAAATCAGAGAGGAGAATGGAGTAGAAGGGATTGCAGAGTGGTCATTCCCCCAGGGAGTTAATTTCTTACTTTCTCCTTCTCCATCTCTCTGGTGAATGCATGGGCCCTATAGCAAAAATCTCTCGAAAAATCTTTCTTTTATCAATATACTCTACTGAAATGTCATTCTTACCACAGACCTACAGTTCTAACTATATCGCTATCCTTTGTGTTATAACATTTGGTATGACATCTATTATTTCTTATGTACCTGCCTGTATGGTTAACTGAGAAGGCTCTGTGTGGAACTCTTCATGATACAGGTTATAGTTGGGTGGCTTTGTATTTGACAATATATAAGATTCGCTCTGTTAGAATATTTACACTAGGACTACGAGTTTTTGCAGACTGAGGGTGTCTGGCTGATGAAGAGAAAGAAGAAATGAATAAGATACATGAAGAGAAAGAAGCTGCTTTGACAGGAAAGAGTACTTTACAGACTTTACAAAAACTACAGAACACTGGAGCTGCATTGCAGAAACCTGAAGGATAGGAGGCCATCCCGATTTTGCTATGAGCTGTGAAATACATGAGAAGATAAAGTGGCGACCATTTATATAACCTACACATCTCTGTCTACTTTGACACATGGTCTTAGGCTCATAGAAATATGTGTGCTTCAGAAAAAAAGTGTTGGCATATTTTTATATATATATAAATTATGCATAACTCTCAAGTTTTCCAAGAAGAGAAAGAAAACCACACAAAGAAATATTAGGTAAAGTATCAAGAGTCCCACAGTTAAAGAAACCCACATTAGGCCTCTATGTATGTTCAGGAGACAAAGGGGTAGGGAGCAGTTTCATCCAGCATTGAGCCTTACAATGGTCTAAGAAGCATAAGAAATACATTTAAAAGTCTCCTGAAAGTGAAGTTCTATCTCAGGGCTCTGACTCAGTTTGCTTTTCCTATACTTTTGATTTCCCTGGTTTTCAATGATGGCTTCTGCTATTGTTTGGATAATAGTTTCCCCCGAGACTCATGTTTTGGAATTTAGTTTTAGTGGGCAGTGATTGTCCCCTACAAGTTCATGCAATATTGTAAAGGTGTTAAGGTGAAGAAGTAATCCCTTCACGGGGTTCCCAGGGTGGGGGATTTGGGTATGATAAAGTCATTAGGGTGGGGATCAAATGACTGAGCTCTGTCGTGTATATAAAGAGAGGCAGTGAGGCAGGCAGAGCCCACAGATGCAGACCACACTCCACTCTACTAAAAGTCCTGCCTTTCATCATGTTGTGATACCTTTGGACTCTCCAACCACCAGAATAGTGTTAAGAAAGCATTACTTTATAAATCACCCAGTGTCAGATACTTCGGTTAGCAATACCATAACAGATTCAGACAGCCCCTCTTATAACTGGCATCTTTTCCCCTTCATGTGTGCCATCCAAGCCCTGGTCTCTAAGGGTGGATACCTCTTGCTCTGAACCAGCAATTGGGCACCTCTGAGGCCAACTACCTGTCCTGCCTTTCACCGTGCCACCAGAGCACGAGCCCTGCCCAGTGTGCAGAGATATGACCCCAGTAAGAGCCTAACGATTCTCATGGGCTATCCACTCCAGAATGTAGGAAATGCTTTATCTAACTCACCTCAAACTGAAGAGAGAATTTATAGTCCGAGTCTTTGGCCATATCCTTGATGTAGGCATCAAAGTCATCCAGTTGAACCGGGCTTTGTCAAACACAGAGAAATGCATGTTTTAAAAATCCTGTCAATCAGTATTATACATTGTTTAACACCAAGCTTCTCAAACATGGACAATTTTCTTGGAGAAAATAGAAATTTTATATCTTAAAGGTTAGCACCAATGTTTTGTGAGAATGGGGGAGATAAAGTTACCATCCCTAATGTATTGTAATTAAAAAGAGGGGCATATAAGAAGGGTATTCAAAAAACTCAAGGAAAAGGCATACTACAAAAAAACTGTGCATGGATTTCAAAATTGTTTTTGCACCAAAATAAACACACTTTAATTTCACTTTTCCATGAACTTTTTGAAGTACTCTCCCATATCAAACTTCCTTGAGATAAGAGAAAAATCTAGATTTACACTTGGGTCTTACTCTAGCAATAAAATATTATAACAAGTATACTCATATATACAGACACATGGTAAAGAACAAAGAATTTTATCCTGAAGACTATTCGAGTTACTGCTTTACTTTATTGACAGAGTGATCTCAGAGCACTAACTAACTCTTAGAGTCAATATTCTTATCCATAACTTGCAACAGTCGTATCTCACAAGGTAAGGGTACTATTTCATAATACTACCTCATAAAGTGGGGCCTGCAGCATATAAAGGTCTTAAACAATTTTACAGACAAAAGAAATTATGCTGCTAGCTACAACTTCCCCAGAGCAGAGGCAAGATCGGTGGCACAAAGCACTTATCGAGAGGGCTCCCGGGGTCTTACCTGAGAGGGCCATATTTCATATTTCTATAGCACTGCTATGGAAGTATGAAAATGAAAATGGCTTAGAGATACAATCAAGTAACACATCCTATGTTTTCATAACTGAAGTGGAAGTTCTCACCTCTCCTCTCTCTTTTAGGTGAACAAGAATGAAACTTCCTATGGTTTTCTGTAACAGTTTCTCTCTTCCAGAGTCTGTCTATCCTAGCCAGCTCTGCAAAACTGCTCTCTGCTTCTGTAGGATTGCCAACTCAGCCATTGGACTTACACCTTTGCACTTTGATGGGTTCATAGAGTTGACCTTTCTCATAATCGTGGCATGTTGCTCAACTTATATCATCTATCCATGCTTTATATTATATTGGCAAATATGCAGTATTTAGAAGCTATTGTTTAATAAAACTGTTGATTAGCTAATCTGATAGGTTAATTTATGTTAACAATTTATTAGATTTAAAGGGCGCTATGTCTCCCCGAGATTACATTTAAACTTTACTGTTTTTAGTTAATAACAATAATGACATACTCATAAAACACACTCCAGTGTATAAATATTCACATATGTTATCTTATTTGAGTTAGACATGAACATTAGCCCTATACTTTCGCTGAGAGAGCCAAGGTTAAGAGATTAGGTGAATAGTTCCACAACCCACGGCTTCTAAGTGGCAGAAGCCCTGACTAGAGATTGCAGGGAGAATGCCTTCTGTTTCAAAGCTTTGTTCACTTCTAAAGAACGGCTAAACATGAACCGTTTCAGTTTCACCTTGTTGCTAGGGACATGGGAGCATACATAGGGGAGACAAATGAGAAAATATTGTGGGTGAGAGATAAAGCAAAAAGCCAGGGAAAAGAGACAGAAGGACCGAGAAATAGAAGAATGAACATAAAGGAGGAGAACAATAAGGAAGAGAGAAAGAAAAATCTGGGAGGAAACAGGCCAGTAAGACAAAGATTTAGGGGAGAATTAGAGAGAAGGTAAAGGAAAGGAGTGATGGAATGGAGATAGGCTTGGTTAAAAGAGGGGACTCAAGCAGTCTTGATAGTGGAGGGGCATTTGGAGTGAAAGAAACACGTCAAGAGAAAGAAGGCAAATGGAGAGGTGAAGGAGGAGAGCCTTTTAAGACATGGCTTGAAAAGGATGAGGGGGAGTCAAAGGAAAATAAGAGGGCAGGAGGAAGCTGGTTTGATGTGAGATTTTAGAGAACCTGCTGGTGGGCAGGTTCTACCCCTTCTAAACTCTACCAAGTCTTCTGTCTAGCTCTTGCTTCTCTGTCCTGCCTCTGCTGGGTCTTGAGTGGAGCAAGCCCTATTAGAACCTCCCCTTTTTGTCCCGAGAGAGCCTGTCCTCTAAATGATTTAATGTGAGCCTCACTTGCTCACTGAAGAACCCACTCGATGGCTCTGGGTAACAAAGCTTTTCTGTTTCTGTCAAATCATCTATCCAGGGGATAGCACTGCTCCTCTATGTAACCTGGTTTGCTCTCTCCTGCATCTGCCGATGTAAGGCAACATAATGTCTACTGGTTTGAAACAGGCAACATTATTCTCTATCTCTATGTGCCATAAAAGGATTTATGCCACTCAAGGATAAATAGAAATAGTTTTCACATCAGCTTTTCTTTTGTGTAATATCATGGATTTCTCAATTTTTTTTCCCCATTAGCATGGATGCCATCTACCTTGCTAGACACCCAATTGTCTTCTTGTCCTAATTCATCAATATTTTATCCCGGACAAGTTCCAAGCACAAACTATTTGTAGAAATGCTCTGCTTTTCATGTGTAGAGCTCTAACTAAGATACGGCCTGGAGGTGGTAATTCTAATAGGCTATTTAAAACAACTGAGAGTTATTTTCACCCACCAGAATCATAATACTTATGACAACAGTTTTATAGATCAGTAAAACCACAGATGAGTTAGAGTAATTATCTGTTTCTATTATTATAAAAGTTTCCTGACAGCATTATCACAGTATTTATTATAATATCAAAGTGAATGCCTTTTCCTACCATAGCACAGAATATAAAAATACAAAATGGCAAAGGATTTTGTACAACTTTGTAGCTACATATTAGATTTTTATATACTTAGAACACTACACTTCCTTCTGCAAGACTTAAAATTTCTACCAATCCACTTTCTCTGATTTTACCCAGTGAGAATTTTCTTCACTCCTGAAGTGGATTTTGTGATCTGCTTTCCTAGTGATCTGTCATCTACAAGTGTAAACAGCCCAACGTATAATGTATTTAGCTATTATAATGTACATTTGTTTCTTTCTTAACCATCCCGTCTACTTGAATACAATAGGTCTATTAAAATTGATATGCTAAGATCATTATGAAGAACATCTCTTTAAATGAAATTGTATGTAAAACTTACTTGGTCAGTTTTCTCTTCTTTAAACCATTTTTACTCCTGAGAATTAAAAAAAAAAAAGGCAAATATATCTGAGCAATAGAATTGATTAACATAATGAAATTTGAAGAGCTTTCAATAATTATATTGTACTATACAGGCACTTTCATGCTACTTAATTTTCATTAAACATACGCCAGGTTTGTTTACTTTTAATTAAATGAGAAGATAATGATAATCATTTAAGGTCCAGTTTTAAAAACTATTTGATTACAAGAACATATCTGTACTTTATATTTCATGTTTGACAAAAACTGAGCTCTAGAAGTCTGACTTCTAGCTCTTGGTGATGAAGTTACTGAAGAATGTTCTAACTATACAGAAGCATCTACTGCCTGAATACTTCAGGTTCCATAGGCAGAAAGGAAAGTTGGTGAGGAGATTGATGATGAGCAGGTGACATACTGGTTTCTTTTTTTTTTTTTTTTGAGAGGCTTCTGCTATAGGGTGTGTGTGCTCGCCGGACAGACAGAGAGACAGAGAGACAAAGCGAGAAATCACCCTCCAGGGGGGATGGCCACGCCGCAGTCCCTTCTCCTCCATTCTCCTCTCGGGATCTTGGGCACGCACGTACACACGCCTGGCGTGAGTTTTAAGCCACCGGGTCTGGGAGGCGAACCGCAGTCTACTGCGTGGGAGTCCAGCGACATAGCCATTATGCTAACTGCTGGTCCTGTCATATTGGTTTCTTAAAGACTAAAATAACCTCAACTGACATTTTCACTGGGAATGTGGATTTGATGTATTTTATATAATTCTATCTTTATATATTTTATCTTTATATTATATAGATATATCATTCTATCTATATATTTTATCTAATACTATTTTCTTATTCAAATTTGAACTAGTTTTTAAGCCATCTGAAGAGTTAGATGTTAGGTAAGCATTAATTACTAGTCTGTAAACTTAACCAAGATGTGCATTAGCATATTCTAGGTTTAATTAAATTTCTTTGGGTAATGAGGGTAATAGATTATCATCAACAAGTGAGCTAACCTAAATTACGGGGTCGTTAGAAAAGTCATGAGGTATTTTTCTGCTTTTGTATGCAAAAATGCGTCATGACTTTTCCAACAACCCAATAGTAATGATAAAATAGTATCTATTGAAATACTTTGTCATTGAATTTTTATTATCTTGTATAAATAACAAATCAAGAAAAATGACTGAGTGTATGAGTAACAAGATAGGAAGCATTTCTTTATAAATTTTCAAAGATCTTTTTTTTTTTTTATGGAAGCTCTCAAGCTTTCAGAAAATAACCTACAGTAAATAACCAATTATAACTTTAGTACTCTTCTGTATCAAAATATTTATATTAAAAATTATGATTATTTGGATACTTCCATTCCTGGAAACCTTTTGCAGAAAGAAGTCAGCTTTCTCTGTTCTCATAGCACCTTGCAATGGCACTTCCCCACTGTAGGAGTGTTGGTAGAGTAGACTATCGTCCACCCCAGGGCTGAGTACAGGTAGGGGGACACCTAGAGGGTGGTCAATAAATGCTTATTTAATTGAACTGAAATGAAACATCTTTGCTATGTTTCTCTCACAATTTCGCTTAATGGTTCAATTAAGATTTTAATACCAGCCTTAGGTTTGTGAGGTCTTGGTTGGGGAAATGAGACTTGTGGTTGGAGGGTAAGTAATTTAGGTCAGGAAATGTAGGGCAATACCCAGAAGGTAAATTGTGTTTCTGGTGTTCGGGCAGTTTTTTTATCGTCTCATTTCTAAGTGAAGACAATCCAGTAGTTTCTATCCTATTTTATTTTTTTCCATTCTCATACTCTTTATCATCTATACTTACAATATAGAAGAAATAAACATTCCAATTTTAAACTCTGCATCTCTTCTGTCCTCTTCAAAAAACATCATAATGGACATAGATGTATCATATAGAAAACCTTAAGAAGGGGCCAGCAGGTGCCATAGTGGTTAAGGCACTGGACTCCCACATGGCCGACCATGGTTCAAGTCCTGGACTTGGCAGCTTGCTTTCTCTCTGTTACTCTGTGGCCAAAAAAAAAAAAAAAAAGGTGAATAAATTAAATAAAATAATTCTTAAAAGAAAAATCTGTTGAGACCAGCAGGTGACATGGTAGTTAAGGTGCTGGATTCTCATATGGTCAACTGCAGTTCAAGTCCTGGACCTGGTGGCTTAAAACTCATGCAGGGCACATGTGCATATGTGTCCAAAATCTTAGGAGGAGAAGGGATTGTGGTGTGGCCAACCCCCCAGGGGGTGATTTCTCACTTTCTTTCTCTCTCTCTGGTGAGTGAATGCACCCTATAGCAAAGATCTCTGTTAAAAAAATCATTTGTTATTCGGTTATTGTGATGGTAATTTAGTTAACTATAGAAATTCCACATTTACTTCATATAGTAAAAGCCAATTAGTATAGTGGTTTATGAAAGCAGAATTCAGCATAGATGACTAACAGTTCTGGTAGAGTCAGGAGGCTGCCAACATATTTGTGATGGGAAGTGGAAGAAAAAAAAACTTTCCTGTTCAAACAGACTTTAAGGAGAACTAGGAAGAAACAAACGTATGTGAGAAGATGACACTGAATAAATTCAGTGCTGAAATATTAAGCTGCTACTACTCAACAGCCGTGTAGCAACCTGATTCATAGAGGAGAGATACATTTTCTTCTTTCAATCTCATTCATTATTAAATGAACTTTCAATGTAATGTAACATTCCACCATAGGTTTTGTGAGACATATTGTCACATATTTTTTAGTGTATGTCTTCATGATTTCTGTAGAACATTCATTATTCTATTTACATTTCACCAATTCCAAAGGGTTCCTATATCCTGAGACAGTGGAACACGACAGAATTGTTCCTATATCCTGAGACAGTGGAACATGACAGAATTGAAGTTTGACGTTCTACAGTAACATTGATTTTTTTTTTTTGAAAATATATTTTCAATTGTTGTGCTAATTCTAAGACTAAAACTGAGGAAAAGTCCACTGTAAACATGTAAGTTGAGGTTTGCTAACAATTTTAACTTTAGCACATTATAAAAACAGTGTGTGTGCATATTACAGTGAAAAGCTTGGGCAATGTTGAAGTTTTCACCTTTTCATTGCAAAAGATTTCCCAAATAACCAACAAATAATACCCATCAAACATATAGTATATATGCATGTGGAACCATGTACTTGTAATTTTTTTCTTTTTAGAAATATTTTTGCTATTGGGTACATGCACTTCTCAGAGACATAGGGAGACAGAGAGAAAGTGAGAAATCACCTCCCGGGGGGATGGCCATGCCACAATCCCTTCTCCTCCATTCTCCTCTTGGGATTTTGGGCATGCACGCTCACATCCCCAGCGTGAGTTTCAAGCCACTGGGTCTGGGACTTCAACTGTGGTCTACTATGTGGGAGTCCAGTGCTATAACCACTGTGCCACCTGCTGGCCCCTAATATTTATTTTTCACATATATTAGGTAAAGTTCAAAATTCTTTTTTTTTCCCCCAGAAGTTTTTGCTATAGGGCTCATGCACTTGCTAGAAAGATAGACAGAGACAGAGAGACAGAAAGCGAGAAATCAACCCCCAGGGGGGATGGCCACGCCGCAATCCCTTCTCCATTCTCCTCTCGGGATCTTGGGCACGCACGCACATGCACCCGGGGTGAGTTTAAGCCACTGGGTCTGGGACTCAATCATGGTCAACTACATGGGAGTCCAATGACATAGCCATTACTCCAGCTGCTGGTCCCAAGTTCAAAATTCTTAACTTCAAGCAGTTAAGATGCATGTCTGAAGTTCTTTATGCTTATGACAGTCTTGAAAGCTGGCCATGCTAGAATTCATTCCAAAAAAGAATATGGGGAAACAGCAGAGAAATGGGATTTGTAATGTAGTTAAGACAAGACGAAACTCTAAAAGTCCCCAATTTCACAAGTGCTACTTACTCTTTCATGTACTTAACAGAAAAGATCCCCACATCTTATTCCCCCTGACTTCTCACTTTCCCTCTCAATGTTTCTGTCTCTCTCTGGTGAGTGCATGCACCCTAAGGCAAAACCTCTTGGGGAAAACAACAAAACAACTTTAGGGTGGTCTCATTCTCCAAATATAATTGTAACAATGAGTAGAGCTGAGACCTTTAAACTTTAAACATACTTAAAATGCTAACTAGAAATCAGAACTGGTGAATGAATGTCTATGGTCATTAAAAAAAAATATATTAAGAAAATAGTAAAACTGAATCCTGGTGGAGTTAGCTGATGAGTTCTTTCAATATCAAACATACTCTAAGATCAGAAGTCCTTATAGAAGACTATGCTGAGACCAACCTAACGGGGGACTGATTCTGCCACCATTTCAGGAAAAGAAACCAGCAACAGTATGAGAGACTGGAAGAGTCTCTTGATTTCCACACAAACCACTAGAGTTATTGGGAGATATGTTTAAAAATGAGTAGAAATACATCTTTCCAAGAAATCAACATTTGGGGAGTAGTCCATGGCCTGGTGGTTAGGGTAGCTGGATCTCACATAACCCACTGCACAGTTCGCGTCTTAGCCCTGGTGGCTTGAATATGCTGGGCATGTCCAAAATCTCAAAAGGACCAGCAGTTAGCGTAATGGCTATGTCGCTGGACTCCCACATAGTGGACCACAGTTCGAGTACCAGACCTGGTGGCTTAAACTCACGCCAGGCGTGCGTGCGTGTGTGCCCAAGATCCCAAGAGGAGAATGGAGGAGAAGGGATTGTGGCGTGGCCATACCCCCTGGGAGGTGATTTCTTGCTTTCTGTCTCTCTGTCTCTCTCTGTCTGTCTGGCGAGCACACGCGCCCTATAGCAAAAACTTCTCCAAAAAAAGAAAAAAAAAAAAAAAGGAGGGAGAGATAGAGAAGGGAGCATTGTGTGACAATGCCCAATGGGTGGGTGCTTTCTCCTTCTCCTCTCTCTGTTGTCTCTCTGGCAAGTATCCGTGCCCTTTGGAAAAATTAAAGAGAAAAAATAAATCAACATTTGACAGAGGAAGTTGGACATTGTGTTAGGAAGTATCTGTGTGAAAGGGGCACTGGCTCTGTTACTTGTAGAGATTAACAGGGAAGGTGAAATACAAAGGCAGACACACCTGAAGGAGGATTAAAAATGGCTATTGCGTGGGCCAGCAGGAGGCATAGTGCTGGACTCCCACATGGTCAACCATGGTTTGAGCCCTGGACCTGGCACTTGAAACTCATGCTAGGCATGTGTGTGTACGTGCCCAAAATCCATAGGGGAGACTGGAGGAGAAGGGACATGGCACGGCCCTTCCCCCTTGCAGGTAAATTCTCACTTTCTGTTTCTCTTTTTTTTTTTTTTTGGAGAGGCTTTTGCTATAGGGCACATGCAATCGCCAGACACAGAAAGTGAGAAATCACCCCCCAGGGGAATGGCCATGCCGCAATCCCTTCTTCTCTGTTCTCCTCTTGGGATCTTGGGCATGCATGCACACGCGCCTGGCATGAGTTTTAAACCACCGGGTCCAGGACGAGAACCGTGGTCAACTACATGGGAGTCCAGCGACACAGCCATTATGCTCACTGCTGGTCCCAGTAGCCAAAATCTCTCTTAAAGAAAAGTGGCTATTGAAATTACAGCAGAGAAACATCCACAAGTCATGTGATGAAGCCCACAGTAGGAAATTCGAGTGGTCGTGGGCGCTGAGCTGTAGTTGAAGGAGCAGACCATGAATTGTACATTTGGCTCTTGCAGAGTACAAGCCCTAGGGGTGAGAACAGTTTACATTCAATGTACTTTTGCTGGTTGATAGGCGTGAAATGTACTGAGTGCTAGAAAGCATGGGCCTCTGTGTTTTACTTTCTCTTCTCACCTGGAGATAACCATTTACGGTCTCAGGATGATGCTTCTAAAACCTAGCGGGTCTGTCTTTTCCTTGCTAGCTTGGGTCTCATGCTATTTGATCAGTACATTAAAATAGCAGACCTTGAAAGGGTGGCTGAACGTTGAAGATGCGTTCATCAGTGGGACCTATTAAAGACATGCAAATAGCACAAGCCAATCTGATAGAAACTTCAAAACAAACTGGAAAGTAAGACAGTCTGAGGGAAGTGAGTGGGAAATGAATATCATATATGCATCTTTTTTGTTTTAATTAAAATCTGTGGAGGATACTTTATGGATATTTGCTGCAAATATTCTAATGAGAGGTAGAAGACTTTCAGATGATTAGTAGAAGTTGACTTATAGTAAAGGCATCATTTTGAAGGTCAAAATAGAATTTAGGTGCACTGCTCATACCTGAAAGCTATCTGATGTTAAATATTGAAAATATATTGACTATGATGAAGCCCTATACTGGAAATTGCAAATAACCACTTTATTACTTGTACATCTCTGTGTACCTTATTTAAAATGTTTTTCTAGTCTTTTTTAAAAATGTATTCTGGTAATAATCTATGCTGAGGAAGTTTTTAAATTTTTATTATTATTTTTTTACTGTGACCTGAAATCCTGAATTCTTCCCCTGTATTTATTCTGTCCTTGCAGGAGCTGAAAATATTTGATCAATTGTCTTTTTTGAATAAATAACTCTCCAGTTTGCTTTCCATCTTTTTTCTCCCAGTGGACTATGTTTTTCCTAGTTCATGAGATATTTTTATCACTTTATTCTGAGTCCTTCCCAAGTTGTCTACTTTTCTGAATCTATGTGCACACAATATAGTCTGTACCTATATACTATGCATTAACACTTAAGAACAATATATTTTTTTCCATCAGTTTCCTGAGAAACTTCTACCTTTTTTTCTTGTGGCTTGGGGGAAGAAATGGCTCATCTAGAGTCATTAGCCTCAGTATTCAAGATTGTTATTATTATTTACTAGAAAAGTAGAAAGCCAAGCCTTGATTAGTAGAATGATTTAGAAGTTGGGAAAATGAGGAATGAGGTTGCTTTGTACAGAAGAGATTTCAGAGGTATGAGTTTGTAACCTGGACATCCTCTACAGTAGTAAGTGACATTAGGACCATTAATCCCATTACACTTCTATTTTCAGATCTCTAGAATGGAACTAATTTGACTCTCTGAAGAACCGTTGGGAGAATTAAATAAGATGATTATTCAAAGAGATTTATACATAATTAGCTGTTCAATATTCACTGAGTTACCATTATTATCAAAGCAAGGAGGTCTCAGATACAGAGTACAGACTATGCTTTCTCTACCTGGATGTATTTCTACCTGGTTGGGGTTCTCTATTGGATGGCGATGATAAGGAAAATACAGTGTCACAAAAATATGAGAGGTCGCTGGATTGACTCAATCAAAAAACAAATGACTAAGAATTCATGGAAGTAGAGCTTGCCAAAAACATCATGAGGAGAAAATTTCATTGAGAAAACATTCATAGTTAGCATGTTGGTACCACTGACTGCTTTCATCCATTTCATTACATGATTACTAATTCTAGATGCTGCCAAACACTTAAAATATTTAGAAACAAGTTTTCCTTTTTATTTCTTGAAAGCTAACTTTTACAAAGACTTTGTGTTAGATAAACAGTAAAAAAAAAAAAAAAATCACTTACCAAGGATTAATATAAAATGCCAAAAGATAATCAGTCCAAAGACATGAGGGTAGCAGGGTTAAGAAAGCAAATATACTCCTACGCCTGCGAGCATTAATAGATAACAGATGTAAAGATGAAAACATGGCAAGAGTTAGTAACATAAACTGTGAGCAAATACCAGTCAATTACCTATGGGATCAGTTAATATGACGAGCACCTTAATTACAGTGAAACAGTATTCCTTCTGTGAAATTTAAATGTGACGGCTTAAGTGCTCCAATATTGACAAATCAGTTTTTATTCACACATGACCTCATTGTAATCAGATATATTTCCTTCAACTTGCTTTGTGTCAATTAGTCTGCTATTAGGTGATTACATTTTGCATTCAGTTAAATGAGGCTCTTAACTGCCTCGTTAGGTATCTTGCATCTTATTCTTGGGTCATACACTTCCAGTGGCAAAGCCTATTTTAAGAAATTCTATGACATCGTTTGATAGCTAAACAGCAGTTGGTATGAGGAAACATAAGTGATAGGTTTACGTAGGCTGATTCAAGGGAAGACTAAGCTTTCGGGACACATTCTTATACAGCTACACTACTAAATTGCTACCTGATCTCTAAAAATAAACTAAAAACAGAGAGACGCTATGATACTCAGGTATCATTTAGTCAAGATAAGTAGCTCATCAACTGTCCAGTCTGGAATCTCAGTGATGTTAGCTGAGTAAGAACAAAATTCTTTCATTTCACTTTAATTCTCCTTAATACTGTTCTTAGCAAATATTTGGCTTGAACCCAATCTCAGACATTCAAACCACTTACAGAATCATCCATTAATGTAGATTTTAAAAGTATTCTGTGCTTCTATAGTTTTTCTTAGAAGTAGGAGAAAATACTGTCACCTTTTCATTTCAGTTGTTATGAATCCCCACTGAGGTTCTCAGCTAGAAAGTGCTAGTGTTGGTAGAATTGTCTTTGCCAAGAGCTGCAGGAGAATTGGCTCCATTTTATGGAAAGGTCCTGAAAGGATTTCTCTTTGGCCCTAGTTTTCCAATATGTTACTGGTTTCTCACAAATTCTGTGAATTGTGACTGGCTATGCAATTAGTTAATACACAGCTCCCCTGAGTCATAGTGTAATATCTCTTCTTAGATGGGCCACTCATTATTGCTCTTGAATTGCATCTTTTTAAAGGGTAAACCAGGCAAGAACTAAGTATCAGCAATTCAATTTCTTAATTATGGAAAGAATGACAACATATTTGAACAAATCTAGTAATGTTTCCCAACTTGTCCCAGTCAAACTATGGGTTTCTTTCTTCACAGTTGGATTCAATTGTATTTGAATAGCGAAATTCTATTCATGTTAAAATGTAAACATGGCACAACACATAGTCTTGCTATGAAGAGTCCTGTTCCAACTCTTGATAGATTTTCAACTGGAGTAGGCATCCTCTATACTCAGAAAAGTAAAACTTCTATTTTCATAAAGTCTCCCTTACTAATTCTATAGAGTAAAATTTCCAGTCTCATATCTATTTTTTTCAGATGAACCACTTTGAGGGGTTAGGAAACAGAAAGTAAAAAATATACCAGGGATTACTATAAAATGTATATTTACATATACTTTGCATAGCTGCTTGCAAATGAAAGAAACCAGACCATGGGAATAGTACAGATTCATGTTAAATATGTACTTAATTAGTTATTTTGTTAGGTCACTGTTGAACTGGATAGAATTTCCAATTCCCATGTGCCATTGTTAAGTATAATGTCAACTAATTTAATCTCTTGATGTTTTTCAAATTTCCAAAACACTTCTTCCTTCCACGTCCATAATACTCATACATAAGAAAAATGAGGCTGTATTTCTTATGAGACTTCCCTGGCTTTCATATTTATTTATCTGTAATTTGGGGAGTCGAGAGCCCTGGACTGGATACTTCTACTTAGTTTTGGAACAGATGTGGTGGCTGACACTGACATGAATTTTGAAGAGAGGCACTGCCCTGCTCATGTGGCTTCCTGCAGACTCTGTTGTGCCTTCAGCCACTTGTTCAGTGTGGTCCCTACATTTAAGCCCTTCTTCAGCACAGTGACAGGCTCCCCGCAGGACTGCCTGAGTCCTTTCTTTAATACAGTAAGTACAGAGCAAACTATCACATTTTCCCTACTTCACAATTGCCTCAAGTTTTGTAAGCCATCCTATTCTGTGATGATCAAGCCATCAAAGGTTCACTGTCACTGAAATTCTGAATGGATAATCAGATAAAGCCCTTGATCCCCAAAAGAGAGTAAACAAGTTTGGAGCAGACACTGCATAACTAAGCTTTCTAGAGGTTTGTTTTAAAACAATACTCACCAGTTGTATGGAAGCTTTCCATCCCTCTCTAAGGAAGCAAAATTGACAAATGTTCCAGCTCCACACTCCCTGTTTGAAAGGAAGCACAAAATCAAGGTTGCTGGGTGAAAGAGCACTTGACAGACAAGTAACAAGAGCCTTTACTTGCTTATTATCTCGGCATTATTATTATTATTAAATTTTTTGAGAGCATTTTGTTATAGGGCATGACAGAGAGAAACAGACAGAAAGCGAGAAACCGCCCCCTAGGACAGATGGCCATGCCACAATCCCTTCTCCTCCATTCTCCTCTCAGGATCTTGGGCACACAAGCACATGAGCTCAGTGCGAGTTTAAGCCACTGGGTCTGGGACTCGAACCACGGTCAACTACATGGGAGTCCAGTGACATAGCCATCACACCAACTGCTGGTCCCAGCATTATTTTTTTAAGAAAAGCAAATATAAGCTCCATGTGTTCCTATTTTGCATAACAGACCATGCAAAACAGAAGATAAAATAAGACAGTCTTTTGCAAGGTGGCAGATCCACTTATTTCAGGCTAAAAGGATTCATCCACAATCTTTTCCAAAGTGCATTCATGATCATAACATAAATCTTTGAACTATTTGCAGTATAAAGTCTTTCACAAGCCTTCAGTAGTGAAGTACAGAAACTCTCCTAGATTACCAGTATTTTCCATTTTCAGTAAAAATTCACTGTGGCATTTTGTTTTATAACATTTTGTTTTCTTTAATGATAGAAAATTGAGCTGCACTGTTTACTTCTTCCAAAACCTTTCTTTTCTTTCTTTCTTTCTTTTTTTTGAGAGGTTTTTCGCTATAGGGCGCGTGTGCTCGCCAGAAAGAGACATAGAGACAGAAAGCCAGAAATCACCCCCCAGGGGGGATGGCCACACCGCATTCCCTTCTCCTCCATTCTCCTCTTGGGATCTTGGGCACGCACGCATACGTGCCCGGCGTGAGTTTGAAGCCACCGGGTCCGGGACACAAACCGCGGTCGACTACATGGGAGTCCAGCGACATAGCCATTATGCTAACTGCTGGTTCCCTCTTTTATTTTATTAAAGATTTTTTTGTTTGTCACAGTGCATGTGCACCCTCCGGAGTACTGTATGCGCGCACACACACACACACACACACACACACACACACACACACACACACACAAATTCCTGCAGTAAGACCCTCATAAATACCACTATTCTCATTACAGCTTCTATTATTGCCACTCCTCTATTACTATTAAGAGCTAACATATTTCACACATGGTTCTTAGTACCCACAGGTTCTGTCTCTCTAAATTCAACTAACCTGAGATGGAAAATATTTGGGGGAAAAAAATTCCAGTGAATTCTTAGAAGGGAAACTTAAATTTGCTGCAAGTCAACTGCTATGCTAAATCTACACAAATGAGATGACGTGTAGGCATTATATTTGGTATTATAAGTAACTTAGGAATGATTTAAAGCCTGCAGGAGGATGTGCATCAATTATGTGCAAACATATGTACTGCACCTCCTATTTCATGTTGGTATTTTTGAGGGGTTAAAGGTGAAAGTCCTGGGAACTCATCTACTATAGATACTGGGGGAAGACTGTACTTCCTGTAAGTTTTGTGCCTGTAGTTACTGTGTTGCTGTTTCCAACTCTCCACTTACGTGGGGGTATCATGATGTGTTCTTGAGACACGTTCTTTCCCTGGCTTCCAGGCCATACTCTCTCTGTATCCTTTTATTCCACTGGCTACCTCTTCTGCCTCTTGTCTGTTTCCTCCCTTGTCTTCTTTTTTCCCAGAAAATCTTTTTTTTTCAAAGAATTACTTAACTTTATTTAATTTGACCAGAGAGGGAGAGAGGGAGAGAGGGAGAGAGGGGGAGAGAGGGAGAGGGGGAGAGGGGGAGACAAAGCAAAGCAAGCTGCCTGGACCAGGACTCGAATCACAGTTGGTCATGTGGGAGTCCAGCGCCCTTAACCACTACACCACCTGCCAGTCCCTCTCCCTGAAAATCTTAATGTTGGCCTGTTTTGGTGCTTAATTCAGGGGTCTTACTTACATTTACTCCCTGGATTTCATCTCTGTGACAGCTTTAATATCATTTATATGCTAACAACTCTCAAATGCCTATCTTCCACCAAGACTTCTCTCTCAAACATCAGACTTTTTTGTTCAGCTGTCTCCTCCACAGCTATACTCTCCAGTCATCTCAAATTAACATTTTCAACAGAGAAGTCTAGATGTTCCTCCCACTCTGGAAACTTATCGGGAATCCTCTCTCAGCAGATGGCCACTTGATTCCTTCAGTTCCTGGGGCCAAAAACCTGGAGTCATCCTTGACTCTATTCATGTCTATTCCTCATCCAATTTGTAGCAAATCTTGTTTTGTCTATTTCCAAAATACATTCAGAATCTGTTCATTTTTCCTCTCCCTTCATAGCCACTGCTCTAACTGATCAACGAGCCTGGATTGTGGTAATGATGCCCCCAGGTTATATGTGTGCTTTTGTCCTTGCCTCAATATAGTCTATTTTCTTTTTTTTTTTTTAGCATTTCTTTTTTTTTTAAAGAGGTTTTTGCTATAGGACACGTGCACTTGCCAGAGAGACAGACAGAAAGTGAGAAATCACCCCATAGGGGGGATAGCCATGCTGCAATCCCTTCTCCTCCATCTTCCTCTTGGGATCTTGGGCACGCCTGCACACGCGCCCGGTGTGAGTTTAAGCCACTGGGTCTGGGACTCAAACCTCAGTCGACTACATGGGAGTCCAGCAACATAGCCATTATGCCAACTACTGGCCCTAATACAGTCTATTTTCTACATAAAAGTCAAGGCGAAGGGTTAAAACTTATGTTAGAGAGTGCTAATATTCTGCCCCAAGCCTTACCACGACTGCCCATTTTACTCAGGGTAAAAAAGCCAAGGTTCTTACCATGGCTTATGAAGTCTTCTGCAATCTGGCACCTCCTGCTTCTCTTTTCCTTATTTCCTTCGCTTTAGTTATACAAGCCTCTCTGCTATTTGCACACCCTAGTCATGCTCCTGCCCCAGGGCCTTTACACTGGCTGTTCTTGCTACTGGGTACCCTCAGCCTGCAGGTAACTCCTGGCTAGCTCTCTTACATCCTTCAATGTCACCCTTTCAGTAAAGACGACAGACCTCTGCTCTGTAATTTTTTTCTTACTACCTACTAACATATCGTGCAATCTTTTTAACTTTTATATCTTTGTGAGTTATTTTCAAGGACTACAAGTTCCAGGAAGCATACATTTTTGTCTCTCATATACTGTCATATTCCAAGCACTTGGAAGAGCCTGACAGACAGCAAGTGTCAAGTCATGTTCACCAAGGAAGGCATTTTCTGTGACTGCCCATGATCACACGGGTTGTAAGTTAGGATACTCTCCAGGAGTGTGATTCCAGATGCAACCCTAGCTACGGTGCAGTGCTGCCTCCCTCCATACCCTCCTAAGGCAAACCCAATTGCCAACCTTCAGGAAGCTGCTTTTCACATTCGGAATTAATCTTTCTTCTCCATTTCCATGGAAATCTCATTTTTATTTACTTAATCACACAGGTCAGCTTACGCCTTTAAGTGCATCTATTCTTGCATAGATATTCAGCTAAGTCGTATGTTCTTGGTGAACAACTTTAATGTCTAACTTTTCTCTGAATAAAATTATTAAATTAGGCAATTACTAAAAATTATTATTGGATGGAGGAATTTACTTATAAATATCAGATTGATATAAAACTTTGAGAAAGGGGAGCAATGTTAAATTGTAGTTCATAAGCTAATATTAGGCAAATACATATTTGAACTAAATTCGTCAAAATCAATACTACTCAAACCATTGTTACTTTAAGGAATTTATAGGTTGTTCCAATAATACCAATGACCACAGAACGTACTTGCGAAAGTGCTCTGATGAACAACGTTAACAATGATCAAAGGAATAGGGAAGCTCTGAAATAATAAAGTTTTTCAAACTGTAGGAAAAATTGAACTGGTTACACCTCTAATAGGAACAGAACCAATAGGTGACCTCTAATAAATGTAATCATAACCTCTAACAATATTTCCAGATAAAAGAGCTTACTAGAAATAATGAGAGGATTTTTTTTTTCCTGTTTTACATTGTGGTCTTCCTATTAATTCACTTTATTATCATACTGAACAGGTTAGGTATTTCTTTTATTTCAAACATATCTGCAAATACCTAAATATATTGACCCCTATGTATGGGCTATCAAAAACGCCAAGATTAATAACAGGAGAGATGGCCTTGTGTAAAAAAGCAATTCTTTGCTTTACCAGTCCAATGCTAATGCTTTCTAAAATAGTCTTTAAAAGTCTTCTCAGAAAAAAAAACACACACACACAAAATATTTCAGAAATTGACAGTAAAAATTGAAACTGAATTTACTTTCTAATCATTTAGGTCTACAAAAGTCACACACATATGACATGTAAAAAAATACTTTAAAGACCGTGGCTATAAGATTTATAAAACTTAACTTACCTAGCCATCTGCAGATGCTTTTTCCTAAGAATGACAAGGGTGACAAGCAGCAGCCCAATGAGAAGAGTGCTAAGGATGGCCAGTACTGAGATTACTACCACGTTAGGGTTCATTTCTGTAACTGAGGAGATAGGCCACACATTTTCATCGCAGTTTTCATTAGCTGGACATCAACAGAACCATTTATTTTCTTGTCTAATTGTAAGAGCAGTGAATTTATGACAACAATAAAGTGCCAACAATGACCTCTTTCTGGTCCACTGTTAACTTAATAAAGTAAACTGATGAATGGTGTTCCGGTGCCTGGAAGAACAGCCCATAGCAAAGGTCTACAATATCCAGGATGTTCTTAGAAAGGGAAGTTGTAAAAGGTGAAGAATGCCTGTCATACTTTAAATTCAGTTGAAAATGAAAAATCTAGAGGTCGTTATCATATATTATCATTGTTTAACATTTCCAAATACTTAGAAGGTGGCAGGCTCTTATTTTATGCCCATGACTTTAAAGTGAGAAAGCACAACTGTATGCTTTGTGCACAACTAATAACGTATATGAAAAAGGCATTAGCAGGCTACCATCTGCTATGGCACTTAACACGTTTCTAGAGGCAGGCATTCTGATGATCTGTAACCATCTGGCTAGAGGATTTCCATCTGCACAACTCAGGAGAGCAAACCTAATAAGCTGTAGTGTCTTTGAAAACAGCAGTTGCGTCCTCACATATACTCTCTGTAACGACCGGTCTACCATGGCACTCAGCATTCTAGTTCTTCACACTCCATGAAAGAGCAGCAGTTCAAAGGCAGGAAACTATGTTAATGACTTTTATAAAACCCTTTGAAGTGGGCCTGAGGAAAACCATACTGTCCTTCGCATTGATGATAAAACCACAGAACTGGTCAGCATATATGATCCTTCAGGCTTTGAGTGTCTGCCACTTCTCATGTAGGCCAACTTGGCTCCAGTTTAAGAGCGGAATGTTTGACCAGAAAGAACAATAGACTCTCAGGCAGAAGAGCTTATTCCAGGACACTGGACAGCTAACTGGAGCAGGAAGTTAGCAGTTGAGGAAGTCATTTTATCTATCCCTCTGGCCTCATTTTCATGAGGGTATCAGCTGTGGCACCCCTACAGGTTGCTGTAGCAGGGACAGGAAATATGGACATTAGCGACCAGTAGATGGCATAATGGGTACATTACTGGACTCCCATGTAGTCGACTGTGGTTCAAATTCTGGAGCCAGTGGCTTAAAACTCATGCCCGGTTTGTGTGCATGCGAGCCCAAAACCCTGAGAGTAGACTGGAGGAGGGGATTGTGTCTTGGTCATACTCCCTAGGGGGTGATTTCTTACTTTCTATCTCTGTTTCTCTGGTGAGTGATGTACCCTCTAGTAAAAATCTCTCTTTAACAACAACAAAAAAGAAATATGGACATTAAAGTATATTTAAAAAGGTGTGAAATAATTAGCAACCATTAAAATGCTTTTCAGGTCCATTTTTTATCCTTTTTCTTCTGAAAATTAAAGATTAAAAACAGATAATGAAAAAACAGAACAACAAACTTAAGTCATCACTGAATAGCAGCTAAGTGTACTAATATTACAGAAATAAGAATTATGCCAGTAAAGGGATAATGTAACAGAGAGGCCTTATTACAGGAGGCTTCCCACGGGATCTCAAGATTACAGAATCAGACTCTAACAAGTCAGGCAATAGCACATATAATACAACTGGGAAAAAAGAAATAATAAACATTCTAGCCCTTCATTAATTTCTAATTTTCCCATTTACACTTTCTGCTGAATTGGAAAGTTTCTCCCTTTAGCCTAGTGATTCAATATTTCCATTTTTTGATCAGTGACATCTGAGGCCGAGACTAAATAAAATGACACAGAGCGGATGAGGGTATAGTGCTTACTGCTACGGAAGGTGAGGATGATGACCATAAAGTTAATGGCAGCAACGAGCAGGCCGTAGTTGCCAGGGCTTTATGTATTTTGTTTCTAAGCTTCAGAACAACTCAGAAGATACTTATTTCAGTTTTACATATGAAAAAAACTAAGGCTCAGAGACAGTAACTATCTTTCCCT